CGACAAGCGACAGACCGGTCATTCAGTCATTCATTTCCAATGGAGAGTAGCGCGGGAGCTGTGTGGAGTTCCGATCATATGCAGATGTCCGTTCATACTAACGTTACACGACCGAAAGCGCGTGTTATGTGATCATTCATGCAAACTGTAGCATCATGTTACATAAGACAATAAATAAGATTTATATTCCGGTTTTACTCAAAACTCACTTTAAACCACCATCGAGTGTTTGTAATAACTTCCGATTGCCGTCTAACAGGGCCAGATTTACGCACTCAAGACATTAAGCAAATAAATATAATAAACAATAGGGTAAAAAATGACAAACTATTTCCATGTCTTCCACCTTTTTTATGTAGGCTACGGAAATCACGCTTTCTTTCTCCCAGTCTCTCTCACAGATGCACACAGTACAGAAACGCACTCGCGCACACATGCGGAGACGCGAACAGAAACTTCTTGTCAGCGCTGCCCCGCGAATTTATCAATAAAATAGTTTCGCAGCTGAAAAGCTACATGACATTTCTCAGTAGCAAGGTTCTTGAAGCAGTTTAACTTAAAGATTCGCTATTAGTAACTGAGAGACGCATAGACGCAGGTATTCACCCGCACAATATGTACGTTTTCGCCGCTAGAGGGCGCATATTCAAAACAAACAAAGAAACAAAGGCGTAGTTTGATGATGTCGTGACTGAGTGTGGAATTATGGGAGTTGTGGTCTTCATCTTCTTTGTTCCAGAGAGTTTAGTCTCTTCGTAAATCAACCTACAAATCACCTACTGATGCTTCCATGTATTTTACCGCCGAAAAAATTACACACTTCATCTTTAAATGTACAGTTTCATTTAGGAGATGAAATTTCTCCCATCCTCTACCGCTGTCACACCCCGGTTTATCTATCTAGGACATTTCCAATTTACAGGAGCATTTTGTCAAGCGCTGCAGTACCGTCTGACAGAGGCTTCTCTCATATGCCTGTCACAAAGCTGTTCTCATATCAGCGGTGAGCAAGCCTGCAACTCCAGCTCCAAAAGCTGAAATACAACTCAATCTGTTGAATATTATAAAGACAGGAGGACCTAAAAATTGAGGGGGGAAAAGCGTCTTTGGTGTTTCCATGTTTTCTACAAAACAAAACCGGAAATCGAGGGGTTATGACGTCATTGGCAGGCGACACAATGACACTATGGACACGGTCCATGCCATTAGTTAAAATTGCTTATTTCTCTGGATTTAAACATTCTTCGAAACATTTGGGATAATGTAAGTACACAAGTCAGTAAAATATATAACACTGTTCTAGTGGTTTTTGGATATTTTAATACAAAAATCTTACATATTGTGCCTTTAATCTCTGTGATCAAAATGTGTCAGCAAAAAAAGTGATTGTGACTCCAGGCTGTTAAAATTATTAGAGAAATAATGCACTCCCAAAGTGGTTATGTGGCCACGACGCCGCGCCTATTAATGGAATGGTCTTTCTCAGTTCTCAAACAAATTAAGAACTACATTCGATTTTTATTGACTAAACGCAAGCGCTTATTGCGATAGAAAACACTGTAACGGTTTCCACTGATTAAGAAATATTTTTGTTTGCTTGGGTGGTAATATTAGGTCTATTATATTAAAAGGGAAGGGGGGCCCAAAAATTGGTTTTGCCTATGTCACGAAAAGCGGTAAATCCGGCCCTGCTCATGATTATATGTTATTCGTATGTAATTGTGAAATATACAAACTACTACACAGTTAAAGGGATAGTTCACCCAAAAATGAAAATTCTGTCATTAATTACTCACCCTCATGTCGTTTCAAACCCGAAAGACCTTCGTTCATCTTCGGAACACAAATTAAGATATTGTTGATGGAATCTGAGAGCTGTCTGAACCTG